CTTCTGGGTAATAATTGGATGAACTGTTCCACAATTCTGTTTCATTACCAGTAATTTGAAGAATTTGTATAAACCATTGAATACTAAGAAAAGGAGGTCAAGGTCAGAAAGGCATGTACACCTTGGGATCATTCCATATACCAAATAAAACTGCTGTTGCACCACTGTCCCAAGTAAGCTATATTTGTTTTTAGGATAAATCCAGCAATTGGTTTTTTCTTCTGAATTGTTTTACATTTTGTCATGTGGAAACCTTTTATTTCTTACTATTGGTATGTATTTTGCACATTGATGAAGGCTGTACATTGCCCAATTGCTGTTTACATCCTTGTCCTTTGGTCTAAGATAAACAGTTGTCTCATTGGCAATCATACCACATATTGTTTTCAAATACATACAACAAACAACACATGGTCCAGATAGTTGGACTTGGTAAAAGGTAAAGCCACAAAATGTGGTGGGGTTAATATAAAAATAAGGAGATGTGGTATGATTGCCAATAAGACAACTATCCACCCAAGTTCAAATGAAGTTGATGTAAGCAATTAAAGGGAACCGTATAGCCTTCAACAATGATGAAAACCCATACTGTATAGTCAACTATAAAAGGCCCTGTTATGAAAAATTTGAAACAATTCAATGGAGAAAACTAACTGCCTAATTTATAACGAAACAATTTACGAAAAACAAGTATGACAGTTATGAACCAACAACAACCACTGAACTACAGACTCCTGACTTGGGACAGGCACATAAAAAATGGGGTGGGGTTAAACATGTTTGTGAGCGCTCAACCCTCCCCTTACCTGGGACAGCACAACATACAAACAAATTATAACTAGAGGCTCTAAAGAGCCTGTGTCGCTCACCTTGGTCTATGTGAATATTAAACAAAGGACGCAGATGGATTCATGACAAAATTGTGTTTTGGTGATGGTGATGTGTTTGTACATCTTAATTTACTGAACATTTTTCCTGCTTACAATTATCTCTATCTATAATTAACTTGGCCCAGTAGTTTCAGAGGAGAAGATTTTTGTAAAAGATTACTAAGATTTACGAAAAAATGGTTAAAAATTGACTATAAAGGGCAATAACTCCTAAAGGGGTCAACTGACAATTTCGGTCATGTTGACTTATTTGTAGATCTTACTTTGCCGACATTTATTGTTTTTTACAGTTTATCTCTATCTATAATAATATTCAAGATAATAACCAAAAACAGCAAAATCACCTTAAAATTACCAATTCAGGGGCAGCAACCCAACAATGGGTTGTCCGATTCATCTGAAAATTTCAGGGCAGATAGATCTTGACCTGATAAACAATTTTACTTCATGTCAGATTTGCTTTGAATGCTTTGGTTTTTGAGTTAAAAGCCAAAAACTGAATTTTACCCCTATGTTCTATTTTTAGCCGTGGCGGCCATCTTGGTTGGTTGACCAGGTCACGCCACACATTTTCAAAACTAGATAACCAAATGATGATTGTGGCCAAGTTTGGTTTAATTTGGCCCAGTTGTTTCAGAGGAGAAGATTTTTATAAAAGATTACTAAGATTTACAAAAATGGTTAAAAATTGACTATAAAGGGCAATTACTCCTAAAGGGGTCAACTGACCATTTCGGTTATATTGACTTATTTGTAAATCTTACTTTGCTGAACATTATTGCTGTTTACAGTTTATCTCTATCTATAATAATATTCAAGATAATAACCAAAAACAGCAAAATTTCCTTAAAATTACCAATTCAGGGGCAGCAACCCAATAACGGGTTGTCCGATTCATCTGAAAATTTCAGGGCAGATAGATCTTGACCTGATAAACAATTTTACTTCATGTCAGATTTGCTTTAAATGCTTTGGTTTTTGAGTTAAAAGCCAAAAACTGAATTTTACCCCTATGTTCTATTTTTAGCCGTGGCGGCCATCTTGGTTGGTTGACCAGGTCACGCCACACATTTTTAAAACTAGATAACCAAATGATGATTGTGGCCAAGTTTGGTTTAATTTGGCCACGGAGTTTCAGAGGAGAAGATTTTTGTAAAAGATTACTAAGATTTACGAAAAATTGTTAAAAATTGACTATAAAGGGCAATAACTCCTAAAGGGGTCAACTGACCATTTCAGTCATGTTGACTTATTTGTTAATCTTACTTTGCTGAACATTATTGCTGTTTACAGTTTATCTCTATCTATAATAATATTCAAGATAATAACCAAAAACAGCAAAATTTCCTTAAAATTACCAATTCAGGGGCAGCAACCCAATAACGGGTTGTCCGATTCATCTGAAAATTTCAGGGCAGATAGATCTTGACCTGATGAACAATTTTACCCCATGTCAGATTTGCTCTTAATGCTTTGGTTTTTGAGTTATAAGCTAAAAACTGCATTTTACCCCTATGTTCTATTTTTAGCCGTGGCGGCCATCTTGGTTGGTTGACCGGGTCACGCCACACATTTTTAAAACTAGATACCCCAATGATGATTGTGGCCAAGTTTGGTTAAATTTGGCCCAGTAGTTTCAGAGGAGAAGATTTTTGTAAAAGTTTACGGACGACGGACGACGGACGACGGACGCCGGACGACGGACGCAGGACGACGGACGACGGACGCAAAGTGATGAGAAAAGCTCACTTGACCTTTCAGGTCAGGTGAGCTAAAAATCAGTTGAAAATGGCTTAACACATCAGATCTATACAAAGCAGAAAAACTTACAAAAACACAGACCGTACATGGCAGAGTATTTATACATCCCTAACAACAAAAAAGACACAAAGTACAGATCTGAGAGTACTCGCAGTTACTGACAGCTAGTTCAAGTCAGTTTTTCATGTACAAAAACTCCCCTGTGCTTATCATTAAACAGGGAAAGTTAGTGGACATAAAAAATGTCGAAATATATTTTTTTTCAAAAATGTTTTTGTGTGCATTTTGCATGAAAACCAATTGTTTTGGCTTTTGTATTATAAAAGCAATAATACAAAAATAAAAAAAAGATTGCTACATATGTTACACCATAAGTGCCACCTTAAATACACCTTTATAAGTTTAGGGAGCTACCATTTGATTTTTATGGGGGGGCTAGGATGAAATTTGAAAAAAATAGGCAGGACAGGAGTTTTGAGTAAAAAAAAAGGCAGGATGAGACACTTTGCAAATAAAAAAAGGCAGGATGACAATTTATGTAAAAAAAAGTCAGGATAAACTAAAAAAAAAAAAAGGCAGGACCGAATAGAGTGAAAATAAAAAGGCAGGACAGAGATTACAACTAAAAAAAAATGCAGGACAAAATTTTTCATCCTAGCCCCCCATAAAAATCAAATGGTAGCTCCCTTATAGTCAAGAGTAGACTAAAAACAACAGCTCAGATTATGATCTCAGTTTGGAGCTTTTGTAATTATGAGTGTTCAGAAAGTGTCAATATGATACAACAGGTAATAAAATCATTTAATGTTTAAAAGCAATCTAAACAAGAAACTTTTTGGTCAAACAGTCACTGAAAAGTTGTTGACAACACATACTGACAAACAATCCCAATAAGTAAGAAAGTTTATCGACATTATCTCTGAGGAGTTGTATTCATAAGGTGCTATTATGCTACAAAAGACCAAAAGACCAAAAAACAGTCCAAGTCCAAGAACTGTTGTAAAAATGATCAAATCCACATGGCAATATTGTATGGCCAACAACACATAAGAATAATGATCAATCTCACCATTATGAAAGCTTTTTGGCGTGGTCTCGGAGAATAGAGTTTACAAGGTGCCATTATACAGCAAAATGGTCAAAGTCCCATAATTCCAACAAACATTGTTAAATCAAATGGTGAATTACACATGACGACAAACAATCCTATCATATTAAAGCTTTTGGGCAAACACAAACATGATCACAGGAGTACTGTGTTACTGACATACAGAAGGAGACTTTTATTTCCTTGATAGAGGGTTCCTGCTTACAAGGAAGCTATTAAACCAAAAATTCAAAGTGGTGCAGTTGAAATAATACTTTTGAAAATTCAACTAACGCCATCACAAGTTTGTTGACCATTATGGAATATCTGTTTCACTGATATCTTCCAACTGTTGTAACCAAAATCCCATGCTCTTTTCCTTGCATGTGACCTATCGAATTAGACGGGTGCCAAACATGGAGCAGGATCTGTGCTTACCCTTCAAGAGCATCAGAGATCACCCCTGGTTTTTGGTGTTGCTCAGTCTATAGTTTTCTATGTTGTGTTTTGTGTAGTGTTAAGTTTGTCTTTACGTCATTTGTCGTTTTTTGCCATGGTATTGTCATTTTGTTTTGGACTGAGTTTGAATATCCCTTTGGTATCTTTCCCCTCTCCTTTACCATGTCCTCTGCCACAGTGTAGCTGGGGATGAATAAAATAAATTAATGAGGCAAAAATTAAAGTTTTGGTATGTAACATAACCTATAAAATAATTCTCACATGAATGCAAACAAAAACACTTTCTACTTTTTTCAAATTTATCATAATTTTAATTTTTAATCTCATTTGTTTTTCTTAACATGGGCTAAGTCATATTTTCCACGCACACAGCGAAGTTTAACACCAGGTACATCCTGTAAGCGACCTCCTCCAACTAATACTACACTATGTTCTTGTAAATTGTGCCCTTCACCTGGTACATAAGCTGTTGCTTCTTTACCATTACTCATTCTAACACGAACACATTTTCTATTGGCAGAGTTTGGTTTTTTAGGCTTTTTTATAATGGCTTTAAGAACAACAGCTCGTTTGAAAGGGTTTCCATCTAATTGAACAGAATGATTTTTCCTCTTTCGTATCACTGGTCCTTTTCTGTGCATTTGGGCAAGAGATGCCATGGATCTGTTTATGACAGAGCAAGTAAATGGATTGAAGTTCCTCAGACTTGGAACCAGATTGTTTGCTTGACTGGTAACATATTCTGGAAAGGAAAAAAGGAATTAATGGATTGTAGTTCCTCAGTCTTGGAACCAGATTATTCACTTGACTGGTAACATATTCTGAAAATGCACCAGCTTGACATGTATAACAAATACTACTGTCCTATTGTAAGTATTGCTGGTTAAACCCGAAACATTTAAGAGATATTTTGAAAGTGGTCCCTTTGATTTAATTTCAAACACAAAAAAAATTTTTATTAAGAAATAAAATATGATAGGTATATTGAAAGAATTGTGTATGATTTTGAAGCAATCCTCCTTCATTTGTCAGTTGGAATGATTTCTTTTATCAAAAAGCTGCTTATTCGTGTGTTGTACTGGTATAATGTCTCATAAAAAAAAGTTTGTAAGGTTAAAAGTAGTAAATAATTCATATAATCAACAAATCGACTGGATTTTAAATACTTACCAGTTGGTAAAGTATTTCTTGCAACATTAAACAATTTTTGGGAAATCTTCTGGCAAAAGTTCTGTAGCATTCTGTGGCTGAAATAAAGAAAAAAAAAATATACTGTGTGCAGACTCATCAATATAAATATAAGGAGATGTGGTATAATTGAATATGAGACAACTATCCACAAGAGACCAGATGACATAAAATTAATGTAAGCAACTACTGCAATCAATAATAATGCATCAAAACTAGACCAGTTCTCATACAAGGAAAATCACATCACTAATTCAAATGATAATTATGCATTTCTCCTAAAGAGGGGCAGAAGGCCCTTTTTCAGGACTTGGGATTGGGTCTTTATTTTTTGCAGGAATTTAGGATTGGAAATTTGGGATTTACACTTATCGGTACTTGTGAATTTATGATTAATTTTTGGGGACCTGTGAAAAAATGTTTTATTTTTTCAGGAATTCAGGATGACACCTCCTCCTATCACCCCTCCATTAAGGCTTTGTCTGATTCTTATCTTATTTCTACATGTAATTTATCGGTATCTTGGCAGTCAAGAGCTGAGTTTCTTTTGATAAAAACTGTACAATGAGGATCAAAACATACACACTAAATCATTACAGTATTAATTTCCAGTCAAACCATTAGTTTTATTATCTTCACATAAAACAAATTTTTCATCAACTAGATTTTCATGCTACTGACAGTAATTAAAAGCATTTTGAATCTCCAGTCTATAAATATACAAAATGTTGCTGGTCTATGTAAATTATACAACTTCATGTTTGGCTATGAGTGTTCCTGATAAAGGTTAATCAAAATTTGTGTTAAATGCAGCAAAACTACATCTTTTACTTTGATTTAATACCAGTGGAGTGGATTGGTACTACAATGTACTACTGTTTAACAGTCTTCACATTTGGCCAAAGGCCCACCAGGCCAGAATTGTAAAATTTATACTACATGCCAATACTAAGAATCTACATTTGTCTCAATGCACTTCAACTTCATACTTAATTTGGCCTTTTTAACTTTTATAATTTGAGCGTCACTGAAGGTCTTTTGAAGATGAAACGTGCATCTGGCATACAAATTTTTTACCCCGGTATCTTTAATATGTTTATTATTTAATATAATGTTCAAATAAATAAGGAATGTGTCCATGGGACACAGAAGATGCCCCCGCTTGCATATTACATTGTAAAGGGACATAACTCAAGAACTGTAAAATGACACTATTTTGTACTTGATCTGAGTTTTGTGGAATAATCATTGTTTATAAGTTTCACAACATTTCATTGGGGCAAACTAAAGTTAGAGAATGGAAACGAAAAATTCAGCAATTTTTCCATTTGTAAAGGGGCATAATTCTAAAACAGTAAAAGTGACGCCACCAAAATTCGAACTTGATCTGTGTTTTGTGGTATTAAGCATTGTGCATAAGTTTCGTAACATTTGGTTGAGGCAAACCAAGGCTCCGTGTTGAAGACTGTACTGTGACCTATAATGGTTTACTTTTATAAATTTTGACTTGGATGGAGAGTTGTCTCATTGGCACTCATACCACATCTTCTTATATCTATTATGTTTATTTTTGTATTTATTTGATATACAAAATGAATACAATACAACAAAAACGTACAGCTATTCTATTAAATAATACAGAGATCATATTTTTATTAAAATAAACATGATTATTGAGGGTATTAATATAAGCACCCTTAAAAAAAGGTAAAAAAAACGAGCTTGATGCCTTGCTTACCCTTCTTGAGCACATGAGATCACATTCAGTTTTAATGGGGTTCATGTTGCCCAGAAACGAATTTTCAGCAATTTTTCCATTTGTAATGGGGCATAACTCTAGAACAGTAAAAGTGATGCCACCAAAATTCAAATTTGATCTGTGTTTTGTGGTAATTAGCATTGTGTATAAGTTCATATCAATTGGTTGAGGCAAACTAAAGTTAGAGAACGGAAACGAAAAATTCAGCAATTTTTCCATTTGTAAAGGGGCATAACTCTAGAACAGTATAAGTGATGCCACCAAAATTCAAAATTGATCTGTGTTTTGTGGAAATAAGCATTTTGTATAAGTTTCATAACATTTGGTTGAGGCAAACTAAAGTTAGAGAACGGAAACGAAAAATTCAGCAGTTTTTCCATTTGTAAAGGGGCATAACTCTAGAATTGTATAAGTGACGCCACAAAAATTCAAACTTGATCTGTGTTTTGTGGTTATAAGCATTGTGTATAAGTTTCATAACATTTGGTTGAGGCAAACTAAAGTTAGAGAACGGAAACCAATTTTGGGATGTACGTAGGACGGACGTACGTACAGACAGACAAGGGTAAAACTTAATGCCCCCTCCGCTATGGCGGGGGCATAAAAATGAGGTTCAGGCCTGTGGCTGTGAAAACTTATCATGTATTGTCTCGGTCATGAAATAGAAGTTCCTTCATAATACAAGATCCACTGGAACAAAGGGTATAGAATATTTGTACCAACAGGAATAGATATTATATGGCATTTTTTTAACAAAGTTTTCAGGGGAACTTCTGTTAAGCCGAACACATATACGCTGACATGTCCAGGGGGTATCATCAACCTGGTAGTCAAACTTTTAGCATTGCTATTTATAATATATGTTTTTTTTTAATTTTCTGAGTTTCCAAATATAATGTTTTTTAATCTTAAGAAACTTAAGGTTCCAACTCTTTCATGAATGATGGTTTAGTCTTCTTTTTTTGGGGTTCCAAATATCAGACATGATATTCACAGCATATATCCTGACTGTACAAAGATCTAGGTCATCCATGCTTTAAAACTTTTCCAGGTGAACAGGTTTTTCAGAGTAAAATGTGTAAAAATAAGGCCATATTTGATGAAAGGTTATGATGAACCTGTCTAGTCTTAGATACATGACTTTTTTATTAGTTGTTATGGGCTTTGAACTAGCTTTCAGTAACTGTGAGTTCTCTTAGATCTGTTCTTAGTGTCTTTTGTGTTTTTCTTAATGTTTTTGTGCTTTATATCGATCTGATGAGTTAGTCCCTTTTCAACTAATTTCTATAGTTTGTTCTTATGTTCAACCCCACTACATTCTCATGGTATGTGCCTGTCCCAAGTCAGGAACCGGTCTTTTGTGGTTGATGTTTATTGCTGTATACGATATTTGTTTTTCATTTATTTTTAAGTACATAAATCAGGCTGTTTGTTTACTCGTTTCAATTACTTTACCATGTTTACAGTTGTCATTTTTGGGCCTATTACAGCTTACTGTGTGGTTTGGGCTTTGCTCATAATTTGTAGAGGGCTGTACGGTGACCTATAGTATGTGGGTACCCAAATTGCACCTATTCTAAATTTTTTTCACCTAAATTTATTCAAGAAACAGACAAAAGTTTCAAATCTATGGTTATTTGGTAGATGTATCCTTACTTACTATATAGTTCCACAAAGGAGTAGGTCCGGTAAGGGCCGATTTTGGCCTCAAATTTCAGGTTCATCTGATGAAATATTTTGGACACTTTTTAAACACTCAAGTGTCTACTTTAGTAGATTTAATTAGTTTATCTGAAAGATTTGGGCCGATTTAGTCACTAAAGACGCTCAAATTCAGGCTTAAATATTAAAAATCTATCAATTATGCCATAATATGTCACTTTTCAGATGGTTTTTGTCAAAAATGAAAGTGGCCGCATTCGTGTTCATCCTCGATCTTTATATATGATATGTATTATCATCAAATACAACTTACATTTAAATATTAAGAATGAACACGAATGCGGCCTCTTCCATTTAAGACGAAAACCGTCTAAAAATTAACTCAAATGCTAAAATTGTGAAGATTTCAGTAATTTAGCATGACTTAATGATGCTAGTACCCGATACATGTGCATTGTATTGTCAAAAACAGCCCATATTTATGTAACAGAAGTATTCTTCTTTCCAATAAATAGCTAAAAGTTTACATTTTAACAATTTTGTAAAACTGCTATATTTTGGGGCCAAAAAGGGGTCTTACTGGACCTACTCCTTTAATTTTGCATCCAAACTGAATCATAGAAAAACAGGTTTGAACCTACCTCTAAACGACAAAAGATTCTGTAATGAGGAGTACCTAAATTACACCCATGCTTAACTTCACTTCGTAAAAATGGAACAACTGACGTTTTGTTTTATCATGCAATCATTTTTGGATCCTCTTTGCGATCCTTGTTTAAACTGTGTTCTTTTCTTTGAAAAATCAAAGAAAATGATTTTGATTTCAACAACTAAAGCTTCAAGGGCCGCGTGTTAATTGCAGGATAAAAACTGTATATGTACATTGTCAGAAATATAAAATGTATTTGTACTCGCTTTTCTTTCTGTTTCTAAAGCTCGTACAGATAAATCTGATATTTTCCAACAATGTACATATATGACATATATTGCATAATTATTTCTCATTAAGCAATGTTGAAAAGATGTACATAAATGCAAATTACAAAAAATACAAATTGTTTGACCTTTAAGAAAAACTAAGATTTCTGCAGCTTTTTTTTTTTTTTGCTAAATGGGTGCAAATTGGGTACTCTGTGCAATTTGAGTACTGTGACGTGGGTCGGTCTTTTCACCACCGAACACCACCGCACACTACCAAACACCACCGAACACCCGAAAAGACCACTAACCCTTAAGAAAAACAGTTATGTTACACAATAAAACAATAAAATCGATTAAATTACATAAAATTTAATCCCATTCTCATGTTTTCACATTTTTATGTGCATTAGTGATGTTAAAGTTGAGAATCAAAATTTAAAAAAAAAACGCTTCCGGATCCAGCAATATTTTTTCCGGATTTACATTGTCTGTATTATGGTCTTTACTTTTCAATTATTAGAAATAAATTGTTCAAATAAGTTAAAACATTTTATTTAATGTGAAATTATCACAATAATTATATTTAAAAAAATGTTAAAGACTTGAAAGTGTACTGTTCTGACTACAGCCCTGCAAGACTGTCCTTTTTGGTTCTCTTAATTCATTTATTTTCATTTCTTATTAATTTATGTACATATATGTATAAACATATTCATCCTCGTTCAGAAGGTAAGTAAAATATATAAATAAAGATGAAAACAATACATTTAGGAGTGTTAGACAGTTAGATGGTATTTTAATGTGTTCGGTGGTATTCGGCGGAGTGCAGTGGTGTTCGGTGGTGTTTGGTCTTTGGTGGAGAGTTGTGCCATTGGCAATCACACAACATCTTCTTATTTTTTAAAATTCATACTGTAAATGATAAATCTAGAATTAGCAAAAGACACATACATTGTATACATAATTTTTTGAAAGATAATGTCTCTGTCAACATTATTCAGACAATTAATTATGGGTCCGAATGAAAGAGACATGTAAAAGAACTGATTAAAAGGTATTATGAAACAAGTTCCACCTAAAGTCAATACATAAAAGGCTTGTAAAATAGTTATTTACATTCATAAGTCTTTGACAGCTTTTAAAGTTGACATTTTATCTGAATCTGGTTTTAATGAATCAGTGTGGTGTGAAGTTAAGTTGGAAGGAACTGATAAACTTTTATTAGGATGTATTTATAGGAGTCCGTCGTCTGTACCATCAAATAATAAGAAATTGAACGATTTGATATGTCAAGCTTGTAATTTAAAGTATAGCCATTATTTAATTAGGGGAGACTTTAATTTTCCTGAGATCAAGTGGGTTGATAATGAAGTATCAAGTGGTATTAACACAGATCCTTTTAAATTTTATGAGTTTATGCAGAACAATTTTCTCTTTCAACATATATGTACACCAACACGTTTTCGTACTGGTCAAAATGCTAATTTACTTGACCTGGTTTTTACAAATGAAGAAAATATGATAGCCAAAGACTCAATACAAACTGATTCACCAGTGGGGAAGAGTGACCATTGCATGATAAATTTTGATTTTTGTTGTTATTTGAATAATGAGAAAACTCCTGGCGATCGTTTTTCATATTTTAGAGGAAATTATGAGCTTTTTAATGAGAGTCTAAACAACATTGACTGGGATGTTTTGCTAAGTAAAATAAACGTTGATGAAATGTGGAAAAGTTTCTCTTCTGTTATGTCAGAAAATATTGATAGATTTATTCCTAAGAAAAAGACTGACCGTAAATTTATAAGCCCACCGTTGTGGATGGATAGAGCTACTAAATCTGCAATTGTCAAGAAACGTAAATCATGGAAAAAATATAAATATTCAAGAAGTAACTTGTCATATGCAAAATATGTGAAGGATCGTAACGAATGTACAAATGTTGAAGTTTTAAATCAGTTTTTTACTAGTGTGTTTACTCATACAGATGACTTGAAAGATTATGATACTAATTCAGAGTCAAACAATTTTTTGGATGATATTAATATTTGTCAGGAAGATGTGCTAAAGAAACTTAATAAATTAAAAGACCGATAAATCTGCAGGACCTGATGGTCTACATCCGAAAGTTTTATATGAAGTAAGACATGCAATTTGTTATCCCTTGTTTAAAATTTTTGATAAGTCTATCAAAGAGGGTAAAGTTCCAGATGATTGGAAAAATGCCATAGTGTCACCAATATTTAAGAAAGGGAAGAAGCTGAGCCCTGGTAATTACAGACCTGTTAGTTTAACATCCGTAGTATGTAAGATCTGTGAATCCATTATTAGAGACAATATTATGAAGTATATTCTCATGAACAATCTTTTTACAAGTAGTCAATATGGCTTCCGACCAGGTAGATCATGTGTTACTCAACTCCTGGAGGTTTTGGATGAGTGGTCAGAATTAATTGATAATGGTTTTCCACTGGACTCAGTTTACCTTGATTTTTCCAAGGCATTTGATACCGTGCCTCATCAGAGCTTATTTTTGAAACTTGAAAAACTTGGAATAAAGGGATGCATTTTAGATTGGATAAAAAGTTTTCTATCCAGGCGTAAGCAATGTGTTCGTATAAATAATACAACTTCAGCATGGTCAGATGTTGTGAGTGGTGTACCTCAGGGGAGTGTTCTAGGACCAGTTCTTTTTTTAACATTTATAAATGACCTTCCTGATGTAGTAGAGGGCATAGTGAAAATTTTTGCCGATGATTGTAAAGTATATTCTAAAGTCTCGTCAGATAATGAGCGCTGTAAGTTACAGGAAAATTTGGACAGTTTATGTGAATGGTCAAATACGTGGAAATTGAAATTTAATGCATGCTAAATGTAAAGTATTACATATTAATCCTGACAATGATCAACAATATCGTTATACCATGTTGGATGATACAGAAAATTTTATTGCGTTATCTAAGGTGAATGAAGAAAAGGATCTTGGAGTAACTTTCGAGTCAAATTTAAAGTTTGAAAAACATATTAGTACTATTGTTAATAAAGTACAGAGAGTTTTATCTCTTATTCATCATTCCTTTGACTACATGGATCAGGATATGTTTCTTACTCTTTATAAGTCAATTGTTTGTCCACTGTTGGAATATGCTACATGTGTTTGGTCTCCGCACCGTAAAAAAGATATTCGTAAATTGGAATCTGTCCAAAGAAGGGCCACTAAACTCGTAAAGAATATAAATCATTTAAGTTATGAAGATAGATTACGCTCATTGGGATTGCCAACCTTGGAATATTGTAGGGATAGAAATGATATGATACAAGTATATAAAGCGTTGCATGATATAGATGATATAAACTGGATGAGCTTATTTACTTTAGCATCATCTAATAATACTAGAGGTCACTCATTAAAACTCTTTAAGAAACAGTGTAAGACGACACATAGACTAAATACTTTTTCAATTAGAGTAGTGGATTGATCAGTGGAATAACCTGTCAGATTTAACAGTGACGGCAAAGACTTTGAATAAATTTAAGTCAGAGTTAAATGGCGAGAATTGGAACCCATATAAATTTATATGTTCATGTTAATTGTTAAGCTGAGCACACCTAAATAAGTTCGATTTTTACAGGTCAGGAATAACCACCAATTGATGGATTATACCTCAATTGACGTATAATCCAACAATTGACATATATTGGTATAGACCAATTGACGTATAATGCAAGTTTTTTTGTTATAAAATGCTAGTGTGAGAAAACAGTGAGATAGGAGCATCATTTTGCAACTTACAACCTATTTCATGACCATTATTGAGTCCTCCGAAAGTTTCAGTTTTGTCAAAGCCTGCTGCATCTCTTTAGAATGCATGTGTACAACAATTCTTTTGTTGAAACATCTGTACTATTGACCATGATTGACTTTTAATAATGCAAGTCAAGTATTAACAAAGAGCTTCATTCACCTGTGGAGTTGTACTCATAATCACATGACTGAAGACAGTATTGATGTCCATTGACAGGTGATTAGTGGTAAATTTGCCAATCAAGAATTGACAAGATAACAATAGAAGAAACTGCAAATACAATTACTGATTAAATGCAATATGTTATGTCACTATACTAAACTAGGAATGTTTGACATGTTTTCATACAATAATATGGTTTTAAGAAAACAATGCTCCATTTTGGTTGAATAATTTGCTTTGAAAAACAAATAATTATACGTCAATTGGTCTATACCATTATATGTCAATTGGTGGATTATACGTCAATTGAGGTATAATCCACCAATTGGTGGTTATTCCTGACCTGTTTAATAAGTATAATATATATAAATATATTATTATGCGTTTATTATGAGAGGAGAAATTGCATTACGACAATCCAAGATGAGGGGTCAGTAGAAGCCTTTGGCTTATTTTAAGGACCCGAAGATAAAGGTATAAAGGTATAATAAAATCTAAATGACTGCAACCAAAAAAATACCAACCTTGGCCAATTCAAGGGAGGTAACTAAAAGTTCAGTGTTGTTAAGATGCTTCTGATAAAAAGAAATCACTCCTGAACAAAAACACCTTTTCAACTATGAATAGGGACCAATAATTTTGTTCAAAAAAGTTATTTGACGTTATGAGTTAAAATAATTTTCTTTATGTTGAATCGAAAATCCTATTTCAATTTAATGACCAGAACGACATAATTCTCTATTTCTTTATTTACATTGCATATCAACTCACAATATTAATCAAATTAATTCTCCCGGCCCAGAGGTTAATAAGTAGCACACCACACGGAACGTGGAACCGATTCACTTCTGACCATGACTGCGGCACCAGAAACCGTTGAAATGACACAGCACAGCCCTGCTAAGTTAGGTTTAATGCAGTTTCTGGCTGGTGGTTGTGCTGGTGAGGATCTAACAATTACTTAAAAATAGAATGTCATATTAAATTTATTTTCAAAGGCAAAGGATCTCTATGACTATGGAAGCAAGTTAACTTGTACCATTGCAAACTCTTACCATGTCAACTCGAACCACTAAAAGTCAACTCGTACCAATGTTAACTCGTACCACTGCGAAATAGTACCATTGCGAACTCGTACTACTATAAACTTGTACCATTAAAATGTATGCATTGTTTTTAAAAATCTTTATAAAATATTAATCATGTGTTAATTGATTTTCCTGTATTTTATACAAAAAATATTTTTTTTAAATTTGTAAGGGGTTCCGCGGAACCCTGTGTCTCGCCTATGATTGCTGCTGTCAGTACAAAAGTGTAATTATGACTTAAAAAGTGAGTCCATTTATCAGTAAAATACAGAATGTTAGAGATTCAAACTTTCTCTTTAGATGCTATTTATGGTCTTGAAGACTAGCTTCTGTCCAAGTTTCATAACAATCCATGAAGGTTAACAAACTGATCATGTCAATTTAATCCCAAACTGTCAGTAAATGTTAACTGTATTATCTCTTAATCATAAATAAGTTTCATAAAATTCTATACAGGTTTGACAAAGTATTTGATGTGTAACAAACTTCAACCCCAGACTCTATCTATTTGTTAAATGTAAAAAAAAACTAAGTCCATTTATCGGTAAAATACAGAAAAATGAAAATAAATATTTTCAAAATTTTGCTCTGGATACCGTATTTTGGACATAAACAAGCTTCTGTCTAAATTTCATCAAATTCCATGAAGGTTTGACAAAGTTATTGATGACTGAAAAACTTTAAACTTAAACTGAATATGAATGTTTAACTGTAAAAAAAAACAAGTCCATTTATCAGTAAAATACGGAAAAATGAAAATAAATATTTTAAAAATTTTGCTCTGAATACTGTATTATGGTCATAAACAAAGCTTCTGTCCAAATTTCATCTAATTTCATGTAGGTTTAACAAAGTTATTGATGTCCAAAAAAACTTTAACCACAGACTGAACCTAATTGTTGACGCCGCAGACCATTTATGTAGCTCCATGAGGTGGGCACTGGCCCCCTGCCCTCCTTAGATCAGCCTCTGCTTTCTGTATGGTACATTGTAGAATCCCTGATGATTGTCAAATTCTTAACAAATAGAGATTGAGTAATCACAAATTAAGAATTGAAACTGACTGTAATGAATGTCAAGAAATGTTTAACTTGATAGTCTATATGTAGGACTCTAAAATGCAATGAGGACGCTAAAGTACGATGGTCACTCTAAAGTGCCATGGTGTGTGCTAAAGTGTGATGCCTCCATACACTAAAGTCTGAGGTCCATGAAAGTATAGACGTAGGAAACGTAGTTGGATTATGACGTTAACAGTCATTTATATAAACCAAAAATGAATATACTGGCAGATAAATTAGGAATATTTGATAAACAACTTTTAAACCAAATGTCCATGACTAAATTTCAGACCTAAACATGCTTTGTCGGCTGAACCAAATGTGTTGTTTTTTTTTGGGTGCTGGAAGAATGACTTGTGTCCTGCAGTCGACCATTTTACTGTATAGCTACAAAATAGCATACGCATAGGTATCCTGTATCCTGCTTCTATTGGAAGTGAACAGATACAATTAAATCATTGTTTACATTGCAGTTTACTTTGCGATCCCCGTTAAAATATTGTCAATTTTATTAAAAAGTAACGTCAGTAAAATTATAAATTGTAGGCTAAAACATTAGTTTGTACATTGTAGGAAAATATAACATGTATTTGTACTCGTTACGAAAAAGGAGAAAGCTTGGCGAATATTGCATTTATTTCGCATTTAAATTAAAGCTTGTACAAATAAATGTTACCCGGGTACTTATTCCGACAATGAACGCATTTTGTATTTGTGATTTACAATGACGACTGTAAAGGGGGGGGGGGGGGGGGGGGGTTCAGATTATTGATAGACTGTGTGAACGGCAAGCTACACCAATTATCCAAATATTTAATACGCGCGAATTGTTAAAAATTCATTTAACAGGAAATACAGTATTTTGTGACACCTTAATTACCTTTTTAGCAATTATTAAGTGGTTGGTCTTCTAAATTTAGAAACAATCACTTAAGCCTACCGGTATATTATAAAGCCTATCACATATGTTATACCTTAGCATACTAGCTTTTGCAAAAAGAATATTTTATAAAATCGATGTACTTTAACATTTTAATCCCTGGAACCTTACCCTATTGGTCCATTGCACTTTAGCTTGATATACTATTGTACTTTAGCAAACAAACAACCATCACACTTTATCGTGAGACACCATCGTACTTCAGCGTAGACCATCGTACTTTAGCGAGACCATTGCACTTTAGAGTACCATCACACTTTAGAGTCCTACATATATATTTTATCAATTATCCAAAATTGATAATACCAATTTTACATTACCAATTTTACTATAGAATTTATTCATTTTGATTATGTCAAATGACGACAAACGCTTTAAAACATCTTTATGCAAATACCTGAACATAAGTTTCGAAACAAGACAAAAATTTGGAAAATGAATTTACCGAACTGACACACCTACAATATGTAACTGCAGGTTTTACTGACATTATGTAGAGTGAAGTTATCTCTCTTTCACACAGCTGGCTCTTCTCTTGTACATGTTATTTATTCATATAATAATGTTTAATGCATGTATTGTCTATAACGAATGTGTATATGGTTGTCTTTTTTTTTATTCTCTTGCTTGTAATTGTTTAGGAAATAAACTGATTTGATTTGATTTGATTTATACAGATATAGACAGGATTAGGAATTGGTGTTACTGTATAAACATTGTAATGACTTTGTTTACAGACAGAGTAATGACTTAGTACATTTGTAGTATATAGACAGGGTAATGACTTTGTATATGGATAGCGTAATGATTTGGTATATAGACAGGACAATGACATGATTTAAAGAAAGTGTTATATTTTGATTTTGTACATAGATGGTAATGACTTGATATTAGAACAGGATAATGACTTGGTATAAAGACAGGATAAATACTTGGTATGTCGAAAAGGTAAAGACTTGATATGAAGATAGGGTAATGAATTGATATATAGACAGGATAATGACTTGGTGTATAGACAGAGTAAATACTTGGTATTTACATGATATAGACAGAGTAATGACTTGGTATAAGACAGAGTACTGACTTGATATGTAAACAGAGTAATGACTTGGTGTAAGGACAAAGTGATGACTTTGTGTATACACAAGGTAATGACTTGGTGTATAGACAGAGTGATGACTTGGTGTATACACAGAGTAATGACTTGGTATTTACATGATATAGGCAGAGTAATGACTTCGTATAAGACAGAGTACTGACTTGATATTTAAACAGAGTAATGACATGGTATATAGACAGAGAAATGACTTGATTTATAGACAGAGAAATGACTTGGCAAAAAGACAGAGTAATGAGTTGGTAAATGGACAAGTAATGACTTTGAATATCATTTATATAGACAGATTAATGACTTGGTATACAGACAGAGTAATGACTTGGTATATAGACAGAGTAATGACATGGTATATAGACAGAGAAATGACTTGATTTATAGACAGAGAAATGACTTGGGAAAAAGACAGAGTAATGAGTTGGTATATGGACAAGTAATGACTTTGAATATCATTTATATAGACAGATTAATGACTTGGTATACAGACAGAGTAATGACTTGGTATACAGACAGAGTAATCAGACATGGTATAAGACAGAGTAATGACATGGTATATAGACAGAGTAATGACATGGTATATAAACAGAGTAATGACATGGTATAAGACAGAGTAATAACTTGCCACACATTTTTAAACAAAGAATAATTTGAATCTGGAATAGTTTTAAATTCTGGAAAATTGATAAGAAAATTGAATTTTGAATTGAAAAGAGATCTGAAATATTTTGTGTTTTGAATACATTTACAATTAATTGGAGTCCACTGTACTGTATTTGTTTTTCAGGCTTTGTGGAGGTATCCATAATGCATCCATTAGACTTAATCAAAACAAGATTTCAAATACAGAGAGGACCAGATGACCCACACAGATACACCTCACTAGCAGATTGTTTTAAAAAAATGTACAGACAAGAAGGGTAAATTGATATTTTGGTAATTCTAATATCATGATACTACATTGTATCATATGTAATTTATTCATTTGATACTATTTTATTAACGAAAAATACTCTTCAATGTAGAATGGGTTAATTTTCCATAATATTTTGAGAGTTGTATCTGTATTTTGTACATTTTCATTAATTTTGAAAGAAAAGGTTAAGTTGTGACTTTTTGTTCAAATTTATGATTTTCAATTCATGATTTCTTATACCAGGACCCATTATGGTATAGAATTGTCAAATATTATTTTTTTGTTGAATGCATAAATATACAAGCAAAATTCCTCATGTCAAACTAAAGAATTAATGTTCTTATGAAAGGAAGAATTCTGTCAACTATTTCTTGGTATGCCATCCATATTTATAAGAATAAGAAGATATGGTATAATTGCCAGAAACCAAATGATGTAGATGTAAGCCACTATAGGTCTCATGTGACCATTATTTCCTTATTTTTTCAGTGCATTATCCTTTTATAAAGGTATATTACCACCGCTGTGTGCAGAGATGCCAAAAAGAGCTGTAAAATTCTTCACATTTGAGCAGTATAAAACAATGTATTCATATAATTCATTCTTATCTCAGGGTGTGGTAAGTTATTTTATTTTTAAAAAGTGTGCATCGTTCTACATTATCATCTTCAGACATATCTAGTTCTTATTTGATAATAATCTTTGGTAAGATACATATTTTCACAAGATAGTCAAGATCATAGTTCAACTTCAGGAATGTACCAATGTTTGCTAACTATGTGCAGTCATCTTAGGTATTTTTTTAAACAGCAATTTCCTTGTAGACAATTTACATTTGACTCTATGGAATGTACATGAATCAAATTTGAGAAGGTTTTGCCAAATTCAAATTAAGTAGGAATAGAATTAACTATAAAATAATTAATGCTGTAAATATTTTAACATTGTATCCTGTTTAAACTTGTTTTATGTATATATATATATATATGGATCTTTTGAGTATGAAATAAAGATTATCTTATCTTTACAAAGGCTTGTTGATGACATCTGAAATATCTTCTAGTTGTACCTCATTTTTCCATGTTTTATATTGCTTGGCCTCAGAATAATGTATGGTGTGTAAGGTATTAACAATGGTTTTGTCACATTTTAAAAATTCTATTGAATGTCTACATAAGCAGCAAAGGTAATAATATCAAGAGTACCTGTTAGTTGTTTCACTATTTTCTTCATTTAATTTTAGGTGTTTACATTAGCAGGTCTATCATCAGGCCTTACAGAAGCTGTTATTATAAATCCTTTTGAAGTAGTAAAAGTTAAATTACAATCTGAGAGGGGTACAATTTCTGAGGTAAGTACAATCAATGCATTTCTGTATTATTGATTTAATGTTTACAAGGGTAGAATTTGTTTAATGTGCTATGAATGAGGGTAGGAATGCCCTTTACCGTCAGGCGTCAAACGGTCATTTTCGGCTACCGTTAGTGTCAAATTGGTTAAAATTTTAACGTGATTCGTCAAAATATCCTTAGCATGATTCGTCAGAGGTCTCAAATAATTATCGTTACAGTTATTTTTGGAAAAAAATTAACGTGATTCGTCAAAATCAGTCGATTTTTTTATCGTCTAAAAGAAAGTGTACATTTTGTCGTCATGCACCAAAAATTACTGTTAATGTCATTTGGCAAGAATTTTTACCGTTATTTGTCATGAAGGTACCCCCATTACAACCCTAATGAATATGATCCCCTCTTTATAATGTTTATACAACAGATGATGGATGCTAAGAATATGTTTATTACACTGCACCTGCTTTATTATTCTAACAACCTTTCACTTAAGCAATGGGCTAAACAGAATTTACCAGTCATGCCAGTTGATCAGTTTGAAGAGATAATTTCAAACTGCAATTTGAAAAAAAATAATTTGATCAATTGATATTGTGAAAAGGCAAAGCTTATTGTATAAACACAGTAAAATTTGGTCCATTATATTTACTGTTTCATAAAAATGTACATCAAGTATTTATTTTAGTTTTCTGGCATAAAAATATTGAGATGTGGTACTATTGTCAATAAGACAACTATCCACCAGAAACCAAAGGACGAGGATGTAAACAACTATAGGGCATTGTATTGCCTTCAACAATGAGCAAAACTCATACCTTAAAAGGCCAAGCAAGAAAAAATGTAAATTATTCAATAGTATTTATAATATGTTAATGCCAAATTGTGTATATTATTTAACTTGAATTTAATTAATGAAATATTTTTACACTAAGAAAAGTGTGAAACAAATTCAAAAGAGAAAACCAACTGCCTGATTATGTTAAAAACAAATAAGACAGTCAGGACCTAATGAGAATGACTGATTTACAGGCTCCTGACTTTGGACAGGAGTCAAATAAGTCAATATTTAAGTTAAATAGTTGTCATCTGTTAAGATATTCTATTTTCTGGATCTGGCTTCACTGATGAGTTGATGATAAACTCAAAATCCTATGATTGATGCTGGCAGATATTAACCTATCCAGTCACAATTTTTCTCAAAAATAAAAACAATGCAAAATTTTCTGAATTTATGCTGAAACAAAAATTTATAATTTTGCTTTAAGATGAGCAACAACATTTTTTTTTGTGTCATTGCAGTGATTGACAGATATAGATATAAACTGAAAAGTTTTTTTTTTATTATGTTTTAGCAAAAAAGTACATATGCTACAGCCAGAGAAATAATCAAAGAGCATGGTGTCAGATATTTTGCTAGCAAGGGAATGACAGCAACATTAGGACGTCATGGTGTTTTCAATATGATCTACTTTAGTTTTTATCATAATGTAAAAGGCATTGTTCCACAATATGAGGTAATGTCAGTACAATACACCTTCTTTTATCAAAACCTAAAGAATGCAATTCATCCCTAGGCAATGTTGATTGTTAATGGTTTTGGCAAATCTCCCCTTGTATTCTTACATTCTGGACCTTTGATGAATTTAAGCTCAAAGCATTACTGATAGGTTAAATCCAGAAAATTGCCTTAAAAGTGGCAAATTTGGGTGTAATAGAAAAAAAAATGTAATCCATTGTTCTGTTGTACTGTTGATTGATTGATTGATTGATTGCCGCATGATATCAAGCAACAAATATTACATCTATATTTAGGATGATAACATGTTTAAATTGAAGTTGAATATACTCTGCTTTGTACGAAATCGGCACACTGTGTCAGATTTTTTTATGTGCTAACTTACAAGGTACCAGACCACATGAAGACACCCACATGAAGACACATCATAAAAATAAAAAGAGATGTGGGGGTATATATCAAAATATAAGGGCATAAAATGTTTCTGTATAAATATCCTTCTGTAAAAATGATGAAACTGATGGAGAATATAGATGATAATTCCGAAGGTTAGGATTCTTTTACCTCTTTTAAAATGTACATAACATTGCAAAACTAATTCCAAGGAAGAGTTATTTACCTAAGTACACGTATTTCATATAAACATCCAAACTTAAAGTAGAGCAGGGAAAATATTTGTACAATGTAAACTATTAAACCAAATGGTTCTTGGAGAAGAAATATACTCAATCCTGCAAATAACACTTTCTGTACTACCTGTTAAAGGACAATATATTTCGAATACAGCTAAATTTTGTGTGATTTTTAAAGTACTGTAAACTAATTTTCACGACTTTCGCAAGTAGAAAAATAACCCGAATATAAAGTGTCACGAAAATGTAATACTTGGGTCTTCCCTTATATAAATACATCAAGAAAATTAGATAAATGCAAATATAAATTTATGTGAAGTCCACTGAAAAGGGCTAAATTTGAAAATAAGTTGGTTTACAGTATTTAGCCATTGTGAAAACAAAATTAGAATAAACAAATAAAAACAACCATGATTTGTGATATCAGTATATTTTCAAATTTTCAAAGGTTCTATTATGTGATTCAATTTCTATTTCAGGATCCTTTTACAGAATTCTGTAGAAAGTTTTTGATTGGTTTAATTGCTGGTACTCTGGCTTCCTGTATAAACATTCCATTTGATGTCGCTAAGAGTCGTATCCAAGGACCTCAGCCAGTACCAGGACAAGTTAAATATAGAAGTTGTTTTGCTACTATGCTAACAGTATATAGGGAAGAAGGGTAAAGATGCTCTTTTATTTTATATCAATGTAATATTCATTGTAGAATGTAACCAATGTGAGTGTGGAATATAACTTGGCATTTGTACTTGAATAATTTGCTTGAAATGGTGACATAAACATCAGTAGCTGTCACACATGGTCAATATTTATATATAATTGCAGTAACCCTGTCTTATTATGAATTGTTTGATTTTTTATTGATGTTTTAATTGATGTTTGAAATGACCTTCTTAACAACAATTGGGACAATTAGGTAGTCAGCCTTGTTTGTGAAGGAAACCAATGGTACATTTGTCAATCTAAAAAAATTTAGAATTCATAAGGAAGAAGACCTGAGGCTTCATGCCTTGTATGCAGATACCTTATGTTTCTGTCTGTCATATGTTGTATGCACCTCATTTTCATGGTTCAGTGACTGCTTGAAAGAAAAAAAAAAACATTTTTAGCTCACCTGGCCCAAAGGGCCAAGTGAGCTTTTCTCATCACTTGGCGTCTGTCGTCCGTCGTCCGTCGTCGTTAGCTTTTTGACAAAAATCTTCTCCTCTGAAACCACTGGGCCAAATTTAACCAAACTTGGCCACAATCATCATTAGGGTATCTAGTTTAAAAAGTGTGTCCGATGACCCCGCCAACCAACCAAGATGGCCACCATGGCTAAAAATAGAACATAGGGGTAAAATGTAGATTTTGGCTTATATCTCTGAAACCAAAGCATTTAGAGTAAATCTGACAAGGGTAAAACTGATTATCAGGTCAAGATCTATCTGCCCTGAAATTTTCAGACAAATCTGACAACCTGTTGTTGGGTTGCTGCCCCTGAATTGGTAATTTTAAGGAAATTTTGCAGTTTTTGGTTATTATCTTGAATATTATTATAGATAGAGATAAACTGTAAACAGCAATAATGTTCAGCAAAGTAAGATCTACAAATAAGTTGTCATGACCAAAATTGTCAGTCGACCCCTTTAGGAGTTATTGCCCTTAATAGTCAATTTTTAACAATTTTTTGTAAATTTTTGTAATCTTTTACAAAAATCTTCTTCTCTGAAACTACTGAGACAAATTTAACCATACTTGGCCATAATCATTATTAGGGTATCTAGTTTGAAAAATTTGTCCGATGACCCCGCCTTCCAACCATCATGGCCGACTTGGTTAAAAATAGAACATAGGGGTAAAATGCAGTTTTTGGTTTATATCTCTGAAACTAAAGCATTTAGAGCAAATCTGACAGGTGGCAAAAATGTTCATCAGATTTAGATTTATCTGCCCTGAAATTTTCAGACGAATCCGACAACCTGTTGTTGGGTTGCTGCCCCTGAGTTAGTAATTTTACAAAAATTTTGCAGTTTTTTGTTATTATCTTAGATATCATTATAATATCTAATATCTAATATCTAATACTATTAATTATGATTTTAACCTTATTTTACATGATTTCCAAAGCATCAGTAAATACAGGTGAGCGACACAGGCTCTTGAGAGTCTCTAGTTTTTTCATGTGAAATACTCACTTATGAATAATAGGCTTACTTTATTTGGTATATAGGTTCCTTGCAAGGTCTTCATGTCTGTCAGACAGGGTAATCCTGACCTTGACCTCATTTCATGGATTATTGATCAAGGTTAAGTTTGTGTGGTCAAGTCCATATCTCAGATACTATAAGCGATAGGTCAACTATATTTGATGTATGCAATGATTGTAAAGTGTACATGTTCCGACTGGCAGGTTTCATCTGACCTTGACCTCATATTCATGGTTTATTGGACAATGTTTAGTTTTTGTGGTTTGATCTATTTCTTTTGCTATAAGCAATAGGGCCACTATATTTTGTGCATGGAATGAGATTTAGGTGTTCATGTCTGTCTGGCAGGTTTCATATAACCATGACCTCATTTTCATGGTGTTTTGGTCAATGTTAAGTTTTTATTTTGTCTTTTTATCAGATACTATAATATAAGCAAAAGGTTAATTATATTTTGTGTATGGAATGATTGTAAGGTGTATACATGTCTGTTGTCTGTCTGACAGGGTTTATATGATCTTGACCTCATTTTCATGGTTCATTGGTCAATGATTAGTTTTTATTGTTTTGTCAGTTTATCAGATACTATCAGTGACAGGTCAACTATGTTTGGTATATTGAATGATTGTAAGATGTCCGTCTGGCAGGGTTCATATGACCTTTACCTCATTTTCATGGTTCATTAGTCAATGTTAAGATTTTGTGAATTAATCTATTTCTCAGGTACTGTAAGTGAAAGGACCACTATATTTGGTGTATGGAATGATTAAGGTTATTGATATTGTTAAGTTAAATGATACTTGTATATGTTGTAGTAAAACCTTCATATTACAGACTTTCATCATAAATTCAATCATAAATAAGTAAAGCAGATGAAAAATTTCAGCGTGTGCACTCTTGTTTATTACATAATTTATATCTGATTAATGAATCTTTATGTAACATTTGAACAGTTATTATTTTTTCTGCATAAATGAGAGTTACTGTGCAAAGGAAACGTAGATGTTCATTAGCTTCGACTGATGCCTCCAAGTTAAGTTAGTTTAACACAGTTTATCTTAGCCTTCTTACTTATGTCTTCCCTCAATGTATTACATCCAATCCATAAAAATCCTTTTTTGTCAATATGAAGACTTAAAGGTAATTCTATTCCTAAGCTTGTGACATCCTTACATACAACAACTTCCCCAGCAGGATTTAATATGAAGACTTAAAGGTAATTCTATTCCTAAGCTTGCGACATCCTTACATACAACAACTTCCACAGCAGGATTTAATATATGTATAGCATGATTTGCACAATCAGAAACTAAGATCATATCATCAGAGGTTATTGCCACATCTCTTGGATAAAATTTGAACTGGGCAGAATTGAGACCATTACATCCATTGTAGGTCCAATGCAATTGTCCCCCGTTATCTAACATTTCTACCCTACCCTTGCATTTTTTGTTTATAACATCTATAACCACTATCTTCTTATTGAAAGTTTGGATTCTACAAGGAAAGTTTAAGAGTCTCTCATTGTCTTTATCATATTCAATAGTATGTTGTATGTCACCATCCTGGTTCATAATCAAAAGTTTTCTGCTACTATCTTTTGGTGCAGGTAATCTAACAGGGTCAGATTCTGACAACCCTACTATTATCTTATTATCTTTAGTTACATGAACACATAACATTTTTAAGGGAGAAAAGGACTTGAATATTTTTAATTGTCCATCCTTGGTATATAGTTTCAGATCAATATCTTGACACGATAAAAGTATTTCTCCCTCTAGTGTCTTTGCCATATCATTAACTGTTATCTGAATTTCTTTTCAACTTTTATATTGATTTATGAATTTTACTTTCTGTATTTTTCCACTGTAATACCGTCCTATGAATGCAGTATTGTCACTACAGAAAAGTATATTTGTTACATTTTCAACATCACTTTGATAAGTGTCTATGAGTTTCAAGTCTGGAACTGTATAAAGACTACCAAACATCTGACTTCCTATATTTACTGATGTATTGCTTGGAATGAACTTTGTCTTATTCAGTTTGAATTGTTTAACTGAATATTTTGGCAATGTCTTATCTAAGGTTTTATTTGTAGAGAAAATGTCTGCCACTTGATGAGACAGCAGTGTTTGGCTTAGATTGTTTTTCCTGGTTTCCAACTCCTCCTCATTCTTTTTCATGGCAGAAAGTTCCTTTTTTATCATATTTTCTGATGGTTTCCATTTTGCTTCAAGTTTTTGTAAGAGGTCTCTGGTATGTTTTGAAATGGCATCTTTCATTTTTATCTCAGTTTGCAGAATTATGTTCCTTGTTTCCTGAAAACTGTTATCCCCATCCAAAAGATATTTTTGCAGTTTGTCCTTTTCATTTCTAAAGAACTGAAGTTTGGATTGAAATTCTTTCATGACTTTTTTCATTTCACAGATGATATCATTATATACTTCATCAAGGGCTTCATAGTCATGCAGTTTATGTGTCTCCTTTAAACATTTGGAACAAGCAAGCTGACTGCAATCTTTACAAAAGACAAAGCACTTTTGTTTTCCATGGATTGTACATACCATGTTTTCAAGGTCAACTTTCCGTATGGAAGTGACAAAATCCTCCGTTTCAAAATCTTTTAGATTTATAATTTCATGTTCCATTGATGCCTTGATTTTACTATGTATCTTTGAACAGCACAGTTGACATAGAAATAGTTCACAGTTAATACACTTCCACTTAATCTCCGAGGATTCTTCACAGAACTGACACACAGCTGGAGTCTGTGCTTTCCCTATAACCTGAGAAAGTGCCATTTTTATATCATATCCAGTAACTATTGGTGATTCAAAAATAGATTTTAAGATAATTTTTACAGGTAAAATACTAACAAAGTTATTACATTTACATGATTTTGTAACTACAAAATAACGTTTTTTATTGTTCAAATATTTAAAGGACTAATATCAGTAAAGTATGATGAATTTGAACAAATTGAGCAGTTACAATTATTTTTACAGAAGGTTTGAAAAGAAAAGTAGGCTAGATATGAAGTATTTGAGAAGTTCTTTTATAATGAAAAAATACTATTCAGTACAATTTGTTCAAGTATTCTTATGGTAGTTTAGGATTGATTCACATGTCTTTGTATAGTTAATCTTCCATATATTATTCAGATGAGATTCATAAATTTCATTATCCATTCTTATCCTGTAATGGTGCCTTATATGGTAGAAAATTTACTTTTTTATGGTCCTGAAAAAATTTCAGGAGCATGTAGTAAATGCTTTGTCTGTCTGTCTGTCCTCCCCTCTTTATCTTTCTGGATTACAACTTGAGTATTACTTGATCGATTGGAAGGAAACTGATACATTTGAAAGTTAAAGGGAAGGGAAAAAAGCCTATGTACTTAGGAGTCAATATGTCAAAGGGCAAGGTCAGAGTTATTAAAAATAGTTTCCAAATGGTAACTTCAGTTTCCATTGCTTGATTGGTATGAAACTTGTACAGGTGGAAAATAAAGGAAAGGGGATGAAGCTTATTGATTTTGGGGTCAACAGGTCAAATGTTAAGGTCACTTACTAAAAATAGATATTTTTTTTAATGGTTTTCAGATGGTTTCTTGAGTTTCCCTTGATTGATTGAAATTGTACATATGGAAGTTATATTGTTGAGGAAGAAACCTATTGATTTTTTGGTTCAATGGGTCAAAGATCAAGGTCACTTTTACTTAAAATAGATTTTGTTTACTAATTATAAAGGTGAAATGTAAGCACTAATAGTTTTACATATTCCTCCAAGCATACTAGTATTTTGTACCCTTTATTAAAGTAAAAGGTTTTCTATCAATCAATTTTCACTTGTGTTATAATTATAATTACTTTATTTATTTTGGCATTCATATTATATAGATATTAATTAGGGTCCTGCATTGAGGAGGCAGAAGCCCTATAGTTTTCAATCTACCTATTACTTTAAAAACAGATATTGTTTTTATATGCTTTTATTATTATTATTTAGGTGTGGCAAATTTAAAAACTCACATTTTTTATTTTGAAAGCATTATTTGTATAAATAACTGCACTGAAAAAATTCTTAATTTACAATCATTGTTTGTCAATAATTTAATGAACACATAAAATCCAAAAGTACTTAGTATTGGTAGGGCATGGATACAAATTTGAACAGGTGTTATGCATAACATGATGTTGTGCATATTAGATTTTTTGTGAAAATTCACAAAAATTAATTGTGGAAAAAACTTAGTTTTTGTTTAAAAAAATCACCATTTTTGAGAAATGTTAATTGTCCATTATCATGAAAATACTAGTAGATTAAGATAATCTGACAGGGCAAAAAATTCAGAATGTAAGATCTACCTACTTTTCAATCCACTAAAATTGTCAGATGGCTCCTTATAGGGGTAAATGTCCTTTAATGATGATTTTTGTCCCCCATGAATGCCTTGTGGGGGACATAGAAATACAGGGTGTCTGTCCGTCCGTCCGTCTGTCCGGTCTTGTAAGTGCTCTCACAGGTACAATTCTTGCAGATTTTTATAAAACTTATACTATAGGTTAATATCAGCAGTATCTCGAACAAGTCCTATAATGGTGGCCAAACGACTTTTTTTAAAAGAGTTATGCCCCTTGGAAATATTAAATTTACGGAAAATGGCCTCGTTAGCACTCTCACGAGTACAATTCTTGCCAGATTTTTATAAAACTTATACTACTAGTATATGTTAATATCAGCAATATCTCGAACAAGTTCTATAATGGTGGCCGATCCACTTTTTTTAAAAGAGTTATGCCCCTTGGAAATATTGAATTTATGGAAAATGGCCTCTTTAGTGCTCTCAAGGGTACAATTCTTCTCAGATTTTTATAAAAGTTATACTATAGGTGAATATCAGCAGTATCTCGAACAAGTACTATAATGGTGGCCAAACGACTTTTTTTAAAAGAGTTATGCCCCTTGGAAATATTGAATTTATGGAAAATGGCCTCGTTAGTGCTCTCAAGGGTACAATTCTTCTCAGATATTTATAAAACTTATACTATGGGTTAATATCAGCAATATCTCGGACAAGTTCTGTAATGGTAGCCGATTGACTTTTTTTTAACAGAGTTATGCCCCTTCGAAATATTAAATTTATGGAAAATGGCCTCGTTACCTCTCTCAAGGGTACAATTCTTGCCACATTTTTATAAAACTTATACTATAGGTTAATATCAGCAATATCTCGGACAATTTTATAATGGTGGCCAGTATACTTTTTTAAAAGAGTTATGCCCCTTGGAAATATTAAATTTATCGAAAATGGCCTCGTTAGCGCTCTCACGGGTACAATTCTTGCCAGATTTTTTTAAAAATTATAGTATATTATAATTTGTTTTGAAGAACAAAAAAAAAAAGGTTTTCTAGATATTGCCCTTGTACCTTGGATAGATTAAATATGTGCAACATGGGGGACATTGGAACTCTGTTATTTTATTTGACTATTATTTGTGTTTTTGTAATAATCTTGAAAACTATATAGATAAGCAGAAACCGTAACCAGGAAAAATAATCAGTAATGCAAGATCTATAGAATTTCTCACATGATTGAAACCAATAGTTGACTCTCTATAGGAATAATTGACCTAAAACGATGATTTATTTTTTTAGAAAAAAAATTGTGTTTTTGCTTATGATCTTGTTAACTATAATACTTTGTAGATACACAAAAACTATAAACAGCAAATATGATTTAGCAATACAAGATCTACAAAAATGCCAATATGATTAAAACCATCATGCTACTTCTTCAAGGAGTTATTTCCCTTAAATTTTTTTAATTTTTTTGGTAAAAAAAATAGCATTTTCACATGTTATCTTGAAAACTTTAATAGATACACAGAAAATACTAGACCTACAAAATCACCAACATGACTGAAATCATCAAATGACTCTTTATAGGATATATAATTTTACAAATTTTAGTGATTTTACTTCTTATCTTGTTATATATATATGAGATAGACAGTGAAAATTATCGGCAATACCAAATCTATAATAGTGCAAATATTAGTGAAAACATCATTGGGAAATCTGGAAAGTAATATAGTGGCTGATACAAAGGAGTAAATCACTCTTGGATCTATTCCTGTTCATGCACTGCAGTAGACATTAGTGGTAGCATTAGTTACTGAAAAATTACATAAAAGATGAAAAATTTAAATGAAGGACAGAACCAAATAATAAGGACTGAATTTTAAGAAAAAAGCAAAAATAATATACAGTTTATGACTCACTACAAAAGTTGAAATGTTCCTTGTTATTTTATAAATTTTTCCACAATGCTTTAATCTGTTTAATAAATTAAAATAAATATTTTCAGATATTTAGCTTTATACAAAGGACTACTGCCAAAGGTATTGCGATTAGGACCAGGTATGTAAAGCAGATATTATTTCATTGAGGGTCCAAACATGTGGGAAAACTATAATTCAAAGTCAGGAAAAATACTCAAACAATATGATAGAATAAGATTATCAGTTTTTAGCTCACCCATGAAAAGAACCCAAATAACTTCATAATGTGACCGATCGTTAATATTTTTTATGAATGCAAAAAATTTGATGATCTATACATGACATAAGTTCACCAGATTTAATAATTGTTTATTGATTCTAGCCAGCAAAAAATATTGTAGATATCTGCATATACAAGTTGTACAGATTTATATCATTTGACAGGCTTTGAAATGGGATTGGCATGCAGAATGAATAGAAAATTTTACTGCCATTGGAATGTGACAAGGTTTTGTTTGCAACAGTCAAGATGAAGAGAATTAATAAAATTGTTATTTCTTTCAATATATTGTGAGAATTTCAAGGAATGTTTTTCTCAAGAACCTGGTACATCCACCCATAAACTCTCTCTTTTCTAAATTACAAATACTAGGAGATACCCAGGAAATCGCTGTTTAATTGGGCAAGTGTTGAAACAAAGAGTGTGGACACAGTAAGGATTTGGACAGGGTTAATGCATTTAATTCTATTTCTTTAAAGAGATGAAAATGAGGAACATAATGCAAACGACCCCATTCATCTCGTTTGGAAAATAAAAATAAAAAGTACGTCAACTGAGCATGCACGAAAGCGTATAAGACATGGATCAATAACGGACTCCGAATTTGGTTTTTCTCAAAAATTGGATTTTTCTGTGGAAAAGAGATTGTTTCAAAGACAAATTTAGGAAGTACAAAACACTACATTGATACGTCATATCACAAATATTTCCGACTTTGTATGGTTTCAGTGGAGTTGCGGCTCAATGAAATCGGTCTCTTCCTTTAGTAGTATAGATATACAAAGACTTATTGCAGTGTGGCTAACATTCTTCAGTTTATAACAACAAATAAATCATTGTTCCCAAAAATGAATTCCAAAGAGTCTGGTTGATATCAAAAATTTGCATCATACTTTATTGATATAATGCAAAATAGGAAATAATAAATGCAGAAAGTGTGTATTGTAATTTTGTATTTTATAAATTTCTTTTCCAGGTGGTGCCATTATGTTGCTGGTCAATGAACATGCATTAGAGTGGATGAAAAATAACTTTTAAAGATACAGTGATGTTAAGAATGAAATTACTGTGGGCTTTCATTTACACTAAAGAGAAATATTTTTTTTATTATAAAACAAGTTTAATATAATTTCTACTTATAGATTTGTGTGGAATTTCATATACTTATTTAAAAATGTGTTTTGTAAGTGGTAGATTTTATTATACTGCAGGTTCATCAAACACAGTATTTTTTGTAAGCAGTAGATTTTGTATCCTAGATATTATTGTTAGAGTTTATACTTTGTACACACCTTTGTTGGAATACTTGATAATTTTTTGTAATTTTCATTTATTTTCAAATATTTTAAGCATACACACTGACATAGCATCTGTGTGAAAAAGCCAGTATGGTATTAAAAAAGTCCCTTTTTATGTTTTAAACTCAGGATCATGAAAATGCTTTATTTTGTATAATTTTATTGTAATATTCCAAAAAATGACACAGCTAAAACCTTTACCAGCCGCACTGAGTGCTACAAAAAACGACTTTTGGACATCGTTTCTTTAAACTCATTCTTTTCCTAAAGTCCTAAATGTTATTACCAGTAATTGGCTTTTTTTTTTTTATTGTATTTTGTTTTCATTAAGAGAAGAAGATATCAACAATAGACAGAATAATTTTTTTATTTAAGTAAAGAGAGAAAAATATTTTAACATGTTGTGATTTTAATACATGTAAAACATATATTGGTAACTACCGGTATATTTCTATGAAATCTATGAAAAGAAGAAAATATTTTGTCATGATTTAGTTCACTAATAGAACAACCTGTAAAAAATAGCCATACTTCATCTTTGAAGACTTTTCAGCAACTGCCAAGATAAAGAACATCAAATTAAATCATTATTGTTTATTATTTCCAGAAATTGCTGTCTCATGTATATCAATACTATATCCTTTATTTTCTATTTTAAACATTGTTATCCATGTGATATGAGAGAAAAATTATAGATAGTGCTGCTTTTGCTTCTGAGCATATCTGGTCATTTTGTTGTTTTGTTCATTTCAAGTATTCAAGACTCACAATCATATAGATTGTATTCAATTGTAACGATCCTTTAAGAGTTGATCAATTCAACCACTTGTCTCATCTTGTGTTTTCAAGTTCAAGATCATATCAATCGTATTCAATCATCATGATCATATTCAATCATTATAATCGTTTAAATGTTGATCAATCAATTGTGGAATACTGTACCTAATAGTTCTTGTCCTGATATGTATGATATATTTGCCATAAGATGTTAAACACTCAATTCATCATCATTGCATCACCAAGGTAAACATTGCTCAAATTACATTCCAAACAAGGGAGACAACTCAAAGTTAACTATAGCTAGCAGGTGAATTGATTAAAGCTTGCTTTGTCTTCTTCAATATACTGATGTGGAATTATTATTTGTGGGATACTAATTTTCGTTGATTTGTGGGTATATGTGAACCATAAATTTAGATATTCAATGAAGTCTAAATTTCCTGAAGGCTTGTATGCAGACTTTGACATGACAATAAAAATATCCATAAAAATATAACTTTTCCTCAATTCATGAAAAGTGGTACCCACGAAAATAAAGCAGAAAGCTATATCACTGAAATCAGTTACTTTTTGATGATACTATATTTAAGAAATTTCAATTTTTATATTCATTGCTAATTACATATTTGATCATTGTTATAATTTCAGTTAACATTTAGATAATACAATATGCTTATTATTAATGTATTTTAAAGGCAGCAGTTAACAAAATGTACATACATTTTACTTACCATATGTTTATTCTTAACATGGAAATATATTTAGTTTAGTTCACAAGATTAGTATCAGACTTATGACTATTTCACATTGATGTTTCTGTATTAGATATGTTAAAAAAGGGTGTTTTAAGAGCCATTACTTGAAGCAGTGGATAAAGGAGATTACTACAAACATCTTAACTATACTTAAATCACATCAGCTTCTTTGAAAAACATATCTCTCAGAAAAAAATGTTTTTTTATAAGGCAGTTGTTCACTGTCCAACCTGCAGCTTGGACACCATTAGCTCTTTGCATTGTGGTAGATGCAGAGGTCTACAGTTATAGTGTATTACTGCATTCTGTTTTATTAGGGCCCCACTGAATGGCGGGTCGCCCTATAGTGATCAGTCTGTCCGTCCGTAACAAATTGTATCAGCTCTATATCTAGAGAACCATTATGATTTCAAAGTTTATACTTGACATGTATATTAACCAACACCAGAGGGTGTGTCATAATGTATGTACAACTTCCTAGGTCAATGGTCAAAAACTTTGGTTTCAGTTGACAACCCCATGTCCTATGGTAAAGATTGTGTCCGATGTATATCTTGAGAACCATTATGATTTTAAAGTTTATACTTGACATGTATATTAACCAACACCGGAGGGTGTGTCATAATGTATGTACAACTTCCTAGGTCAAAGGTCAAGGTCAAAAACTTTGGTTTCAGTTGACAACCCCATGTCCTATGGTAAAGATTGTGTCTGCTCTATATCTAGAGAACCGTTATGATTTCAAAGTTTATACTTGACATGTATATTAACCACCACTAGAGGGTGTGTCATAATGTATGTACAACTTCCTAGGTCAAAGGTCAAGGTCAAAAACTTTGGTTTCAGTAACCCAATGTCCTATGGTAAAGATAGATTTTTACCACACGTTATTCACAGCAGGGCCCACATAGATGGCTCCCATCTCAATGATATCTAGTTAAATTTTTCATCCTAGCCCCCCTATAAAAATCAAATGGTAGCTCCCTAACTGGTAACTTTTTTTGTTATGGTTTTTGATGAGTGTATTGTTGATATTGCTGTTGTTTTCCATTTTCGAAGGGTTTGTTTTGTTATGCAGTCATTTTATTACATATGTTTGATTTTTGTTTTAGTTAAATGACTGTTTTTCTTATTGAACTTCTTAAAATTATTTTGTTTTCTTTCTTTCCATTTTGGATCAATACACTTAGTTTTGTTTTTATTTGTATTTAGTTTACAGTTATAAATGTATTTTTTAAAAGGGAAATAAAACTATCGTAATATTTTATAGGGCAATTATGTATATGAACCTTAAGACAAATTTATATACCGTTAAAGCTATTTTGGTTATAAGGTGAGAGCTCAATACATATCTTAATTAACGACAAAATTTATAAGGAAGATCTCTGTTGAAATTAAAAATATCAAAATGTTTTTCTTAAGGATGTACTTAGGTGAAATAAAAAAAATCTAGAAGTTAAAATTGATACTATAAGTCAGAAGAGTATTAGTTCAGGAACAAAATAAGCTGAAAATATTGATAGGTAATGGAGCTCCTTTTCGAGATATTTGAGTTTTAAAAAATGGCGGGAAAAGGCTGACACAGACTTTTACCTTGTAATTGCATTGGTATTATTTGGGCCTCAAATCGAAAGAAAAGAAATCTAGAATCTGCTTTAATTTTGGTAAATGACCTTTTATGAGCTATTGAAGTCTTATATGAAAAGAAAAATGGGTGTTATGGGGAAAAATATTTTACCCTGTATCGTAGGAAAAAAACCAAGGAGTCAGAACATTTGACACAAATTCCTAAACCTCACCTAAGTACATCCTTAATTGATATTGTTTAATCAATTTAGAATTTAAGAAAGGTTGGTTACGGGAATTTATGTATGTTTTAATGTATAGAAAAAATAAAATAAATAACAAGAATTTCAAAATATTTTACCAGAAGTGCATTTGATATTTAGATATAAATGTTGTGACTTTAAAGGATAGGTCTAGCTACTAAACATCTGTAATTTTAGTTATTTAAAGAATTTTTTAAGAGATAATCACTGAATGCTCAACTATTTCATTACTCACTTTACACTGAAATATATTGATTTGATAATGCTTTTGTATAAGGCATGCAATGTTAATTGTTTTGATATTTTAAAATTTAGTATATATACTGTATTTTAATGCCTGACTATTGATATTAAAGGGGAATTAAATATCTTTGAACTTTGTTCTTATGGAGGGAAGTATAACAGATTCTTACATTATGGAGAATAGATTGATTGATTGATTGATTGTTGTTGTTTAACACCACTTTCAGCACTCTTGGCTATATAGGGGCAGTCAGTATTTAATGTTAAGGGAGGCCAGAGTGTCCAGAGAAAACCACTGACCTTCTGGCAATTAAGATTGGAGTAGAAACCACCTGCCATGAGCATTGTTCTACCTCACAACCACAGTGTTGACAGGCATGTGACTACTGTAGATGAACTAACTTAAATCACTAGGCCACAGTTAATTGATAATTTTATGGCAATATGTTCAATGTGTTGAGAATGGTCAAATGTAATATTTTCCCTTAAAAGTTAAAAGTAATATCGACTCCAATTTTATTCGGGCAAATGTAGCACTTTGCCACCTACAAAGTTCTAGGCATCCCAGAATATTATCTAGAATATAACCAACAAAGCACTTATATCCAAAAAACTGTAAGTTCAAATATTCCAATATTTCCAACACTTGAAGAACACTTCATAAGGTCACCTCTTAGAACAATTTATAAGAATTTCTGAACCTGGAAGAAGAAATTTCAGAAGAAAGTGCTAGGTCAGATAATCAGATATTATGGTGCAAAAAACTCATACTTGACAAAAGTTATTCATGCATTCTTTTTATAAAAATTTAAAAACAACACTGTTTTGTAATACACATAAAAGAATGTTGCTACAAAATGCAGCTAGGAATTCCAATCTTGAAAAATTTTCAACAAATGACCAAACAGCTCATTAATTCACCATTGTGTGTAAAGCATTAGAAAATCATAAGTATTGTTCAGTCATGATTTGAAAATTTTTAGATATTTGAATTCTTTAATTAGTTATTTCTTTTTTTAAATTATTACATTGACTATTAATGTAAATAAAGTAAAACAATGCAAGGACATGTATCATTGTTCTCCCTTTGTTTTGATTATCTATGTTGACAATGTTTTGACAACACCTATTGAAAATACAGGATAAAATTATTTGTCATGTATAATTTTGATTTTATTTGACTTATGAAAATGTGGTGTGTCATTTCAACTAATGAAAAAAAATTATTTTCATACACAGAGGGCTTGTTTGAAAATGCTAGAGTTTAGTCAAGTTTTGGGATGACTAAAAACTTATTATTGAATTCTAACTATGGAAAAAGCAAGGAGAATCTGTGGTGACTATGTCTGTCTGTTAGTTTGTACATCCATATACTTTGTTTGTGGTTATCCCCCTTGGTTTCTATATAACTTTTCTTTATCTGAATTTCTTTTCATCCTTAGTTGTAAATGAATAACCTGGACATTTCAACAGAATAATCCGTTCTCCATTATTGTGTTCATTTATACAGGTAATGCTGTTGATTTCTGCAGCTGCACTGTAAAATTTTATCCTTCATAATTGACTATTTTCATGTTTAATTGACATTTTCTTCATCATCTTCTGCCTTTTAAATTCATTGCCATATTTTTTTTTAAATTCACTCATGATGCAGCCGTTTGGTCAAAAGAGTTGTCTCCCTTTTTGACAGGTAGTCTGATATAGCTTTCATAGTTATGGGTGTTTTTTTCTCGAAAAGTACTGCTCTATTTTGTCTACTTTTCTACTGAAATTTGTTCTTTTTATGTAAGATTTCCATTTATGTGTAAATTAAGTTACTTACTGTATATAAGACAAAACTAAAATCAAGTATAAATTCATAAACAATAAGTTTACAATAATTGTAGCTGCGGCATAATAAGAAAGGCCACTTTTGATATTTTTCATGAAAAATATTCATGCACTGACATTTCCCACTCATAAATTTTTTAAAGCGTTATGTCCCTTGGAAATATTATTTATATGGAAAATTGCCGTTTACAATTCTTGCCAGATTTTTATGAAATTTATATTATAGGTTTACATCATCAATGTCTTTGAGGAGTTCAAAAATCAGTGCCGATCAATTATTTTTAAAAGAGTTATGCCCTTGGGAATATTGATTATATGGAAAATTGCATTGTTAGCGCTCTCATGTGTACAATTCTTGCCAGAATTTTATGAAACTTATATCATAGAAATATATCAGCAAATGTCTGTGACACTTTTGGAAATAAGTCAATTTATGCCCATTGGAAATACTAATTAAAACGGAAATCACATTGCATTTGCTCTGAAGTTATAAATAAAAAGTTTAAAAGAACTCTGTTCTTTCATTTATCTTGTAATGCCCTTTACTTAACTCCTCCTTTATTCAAGTATCCTTAGGATGACCCATAATCATGCTTAGAGTTGTCTTTACCACTCATACCACATCTTCCTATATCTATTAGAACTTTATTGTTACATCAATACTAGTGGAAGGATATGTGGAATAAGCTTTAATGAGACAGCCATGTAACTACACAAATCGATCCAAGCATACATCTAGAGGTCGTTATATAGCTTTTAACAACCCAACAACACAAAAAAAAAACTACTGACATCTAGAGGTCAACATGCAACCTTCAACAATAAACAGATATCTTTAAAATATGTCAAGCTCGAAATAGCCCCCAATCTAGAAAAGTTCTGAATGAATTTAGAGAGAAAAATAGAAACTGTTCAGAGTGTTCCTAGTTAAAAAAGGGACAACTCTCATTAAAAAATTCAAACTTGAAGAAGATGAATTCTAATAATATAGTACACATCTATTTGAAAGAAAGGTATATTCTTACAAAAATAATAAAGGAAGAAACAATAATAGACAAAACACAACTAATTTCATTTACTTGTCTATGCTAATGATGATTTAAATGTCTTGAAATAATTCAAATGGGGTTTGAATAAAATGTTCAATCCAATGACCAAATTATTGAATAGTTTGGACATCAGAGTGAATATTTTATCATGATAAGCAATATGATCTTTCCTGGTCTAAAGGTCTAGTAATATGTCGGTTTCACTTTTTGCACACCTGTATCAAAGGTCAAGTAGGATGATGTCGTCAAACAGTATAAAAGAAGTGTCTGTTTTGGTTTATCCATCCGTTCCTCTTTAGCTTTTTTTTAACAAATTTGCCTTCCTCTGAAAGCTTACAGTAAATCTTATTAAAATTTACCTTAATCTTAAGACCCCCTATGAGATATTAAGCCATAAAGACTCAACTGACCAAAGTTGCTTCAAATAGAACATAGGGGTAAAAAAGTTTTTGAGGAATTATATGTGATATTCCTTTAAGCTATGGTTTATGTGGTTATAACTTCTTAATATACACATATGTACAACAGTTCATGTACATATTTTTAAATGAACTGCAACAAAGTAACAAATTTATCAATGCTATAACAATCTAATTTTTGATATCATACAATGTAAGAAAAGCTTTCCAGACACTAGGATTTTTTATAAAGATAAAGAACAATTTTCATTCCACAATTACAAAAAGATTAGCATGTAATTGGCTATGTAATTTGTTTTTGATAAAATGACAGTGTTTGAAAGTTTTTTCAAGATCCACTATGCCTAAGAAACAAACAGTGGTATAAATAAAGAATGAATACAAACTAAAGGAATCTGAACCATAATTGATCTCATGACTGCTAAAGAGACAAGGATGTCAGTACAAAATTTATAAAATGGCTTCAGTAAACTTTGGAACTGCTAGGAAAACATTGAGAACAGTACAGAATACAAAAACGAACTGAGATAAATATGGTGCATATGTAAATGGGGCTGCATTATGATACAACCAGAAGAAAAACATTCACTTTTTTCTGCAGAATGTCTATGTTGGCATCTCACTTGGAAATTATTAAAATTTCAAAGATATTTATTTTAAGTTCAAACTTCTGAGAAGCATCCATAGTTTGTTTAGGCACAAAAAAAATTGTTATAGACATACCCTCTACAGGCTTTACAGCCCTTGAATAAAGATTTTTACCATATTTTTTTGCATTTTCTCCTATCATCTTGAAATTTATATTAGATATATTTTTTTGGCATTTTGGGCAAAAACTATAGAAGATAAAGAGAAATTGGAAGCAGTAAAAATGAACAGCAAGACACATTCAACAAATAGGTCAACAAAGCCTAAATAATCAGACCTCTTACTATGTTGAGATTGTCGCGGGAACATAACGTCCGTACTATTGTACTTGTCCATTGTCGACGTCGTATTGTCAGTGACGTCGCCTTGGGCGGAAATACGTTAGTTATTCTATAAGTAATGGCTGAACAGTTGTCTTTATACACATTGCCTAACTATCATCTATATTTATGGTACCGTGACCAATGAATCTCGAAAAATTGAAATCAGTTCGATCTGGGAACAGAAGCGCTGTTACCAGACTATTCCGCAGATTAGATGAAGCAAAGGAGAATACGAATTTCGATGAAGAAGAAGTCATTGCAACGGTCGGAAAACTTGTGCAAAAACAAACATTGTTTGAGGACTTAAATGAACAAATTCTTAAGTTAACAGAACCGGAAGATGTGGAAAATGAGATTATTGATTCAGATGAATATTCAGTGACTATGGAAACGAAGATTCGACACATACGTAAGTTCATACAAAATGTCCAAACCCCGCAGTCCCGTCATATTGAATCACATACTACAACTCACACGTTAAATCCAGAAACTATACCGTTTGTTCCAACGCACAACATAACCAACCCACACAACGCACAGTCCTTTGAAAACCCGTCTGTACAAGCCAGTCACACATTTAACACGCAACAAAGTACATTTTCGTCAACTAGTAATCAGAGTCACCGCCTACCAAAACTTTCGCTTCCAACCTTCTCAGGCAACATTTTAGAATGGCAAACTTTCTGGGACTCATATGAGTCGGCCGTACATCTTAATCTGTCACTTACAAATGTACAAAAATTTAATTACTTGAAAGCACAGCTAGAACATGAAGCACTAGGATCAATAGCAGGTTTCGCACTAACAAATGTAAACTACGATGAAGCCGTAAATTTGTTAAAAGAGAGGTTCGGTCAA